AGAGAGAGAGAGAGAGAGAGAGAGAGAGAGAGAGAGAGAGAGAGAGAGAGAGAGAGAGAGAGAGAATGGGATGACGATCTCAATGGATGTGCATCCTCGTCCCAATTTCGTGATTGGATTCGATTGTTTGATTGGATTGGACCATGACTGTCCTTTGCGGCAGCCGATCAGACGGGCGGTTGCGATGTCAATCTAATCATCAAGAGATCGCTGCTGTTGTTTTTATTTGTTGAAGTGTAGTCAGGACATCGCAGCCGTCGATCTCTTGATTGGATTGGTATCGCAACCGTCGGTCTGATCGACTGCCGCAAAGGATCCAACCGTCCACGACTATCCAATAGACGGTAGTCAATCAACTACCCCCCCCGCCCGCCCCCGTCCCTTTGCTCCCCCCCCACTTGTCGTTGCCGCTCTTGCAATTGATCAGAGCTGAATCCCCCCGCCCGCCCCCGTCTCCTTCTCTTCTAATCAACTACACGCAAACGTTTAGTGATTCAACGACATGTCATTGATCAGAGCTGAATCCCTCCTCCAATCATGAATGCTCAGTCTACCCTCTCTCTCTCTCTCTTTCTCTCTCCCTCTCTCTCTTTCTCTCTCCCTCTCTCTGTCTCTCCCTCTCTTTCTCTCTCCCTGTCTCTTTCTCTCCCTCTCTCTCTCTCTCTCTCTCGTAGGGTCCGAATATGGCGGGTAGAGTCGGATCCGGTCGCGATGGAGAGAGAGGATGCAGTCGGGATCTCTGTCCTCCCCCCCCCCCCCAACAACACACACGCACACACACGGACCGACACATTTCTTCCTTAATGCCTGCGCTTTCTCTCTCTCTCTCTCTCTCTCTCTCTCGTCGTGCCTCGTGTTTTTTATTTGAAAGAAAAAGAAAACCGGGAAGAGGAATCAGCGACATCCCACACACACGGGATATTTTATTGTAATTGTTTTTTCTTTTTTTTCTTTTTCTCTTCTTGGGCGGAAAAACATAACATCCATCGGGACTGAATGACACTAAACGACTCCTAACCACTTAAGAGGAACCCCTTGCAACCTACTGCAGTAACTAACTGGTAGTTACTGCTCGTTTGTCCCCGACTGTCAGACTCTGCAGTAACTCTGAGACTCTGCCAAGTTTTTGTTTGGTTGGCAGAGTCTCAAAATTACTGCAGAGTCGCAGAGTTACTGCAGAGTCTGAAAGTGGGGGACAAAAGAGCAGTAACTACAGTAACTGAGCTTAGTTACTGCAGCAGGTCGTCCACTTTGTTACTTAGCTCAGTGGCTGCAGTTTTTTTTTTTTTTTTTTTTTTTTTTGGGCACTGTTTTTTCCCCTGCAGTTTTAACTTAGTGGGGTGCAAAAGTGCAGTGCAAAAAAAGTGGGCGATGGTGACCGTAATTCAACTGAACAAAGTGATAAATCTACTCAAAATGCAGTAACTGCAGCAGCTGAGCTAAGTAGCAAAGTGGTTTACCGCAGTAACTAAGCAGAGTAACGAAAGTTGAGCGACTGTAGTAACCTAACGGAATAAAGGCATAGTGTGGGGCAACTGCAGTAACTGAATAAGCACAGTGATAAGGTGATGTAGCTGCTGCAGTAAAAGAGTGTAGATAAACAAATTGGGGCGTAGTTGCTGTGGTAAATACCCCGTTGGTAATTCAGCGATAACTGCGGTGGTAATTGTTGTGGTTATTTTGTGTAATACTTTGTGAATTGAAATATGAGCAGAATGCTGCGGTGGTAATTACTGCGGTCGTAATTGCTGCAGTGGTAGTTGCTGTATTGCTGCAGAGTGATTGCTGCCGTAGTTGCTGCAGTAATTACTGCGGTAATTGCTACTGCGGTGATTGCGGTGGTAATTGCTGTGGTGTGATTGCTGCGGTAATTGCTCTGGTGGTAATTCAGTAATAACTACGGAGGTAAGTGCGGTGGTAATCGATGTGGTGATTTCTGTGGTTGTAATTGCCGCGGTGGTAATTACTGTGGTAAATCCTGCCGTAGTTGCTACGGTAGTTACTATGGTAATTGCTTCTGCGGTGATTGGTAAGTGCTGTGGCAATCACTGTGGTGATTGCTGCTGTGGTAATTGTTGCCGTAGTTGCTGCAGTAATTACTACGGTAATTGCTGCTGCGGTGATTACCGTGGCAATTGCTGCGGTGTAACTGCTGCGGTAATTGAGGCAGGTAGCTGCTGTGGTAGAAGAGTAGATTAACAGAGTAGTGTGATCGCTGTGGTAACTGCTGTGGTAATTGCTGCGCTAATTGCTGTGGTAACTGCTATGGTGATTGCTGCAGTAATTGCTGCGGTAATTGAGGTAGAGTGGATAAATGACTGACTACCGTCTTCCCCCGAACATAAGGCATATGCATTGTATTCGAGTTTTCGAATTTGAAAAAAAAATGAATAGAACGCATATGCATTTTATTTGAAATTTAGGGCTATTCGAATAGAACACATGCGTTGTATTCGAATAGAAGGCACCCTATGCGTTGTATTCGTTTACAACGCATATGTGTTATGTTCGGGGGAAGAAGGTAGCTTGAATGATAGTGTGTAAGTGGGAAAGTGCAGGAACCGAGTGTACCGCGGTTAGTAACTGAGTAGTTAGTTACCTGCAGTAAATGTGTGGAAGTCGGTAGATTTGTCTGCAGTCAGTAACTCAGTAGTTACCTGCAGTAAGTGTGGAAGTGGATGAATTTGTCTGCAGCCAGTAACTAAGCAGTTACTTGCAGTAAGTAAGTGTGGAAGTTGATGGATTTGTCTGCAGCCAGTAACTAAGAAGTTACCTGCAGTAAGCAAGTGTGGGAGTCGATGGATTTCTCTGCATAAAGTGACCACGTACTTACCTGCAGTAAGTGTGCAAGTTGGTCAATTGGTCTGCAGTACGGAAGTGTGCAAAGTGTGGAAGTTGGTAGATTTGTCTACAGTAAGTAACTACGTGGTAACCTGCAGTAACTGTGAAAGTTAGGAGATTTGTCCGCCGTACGTAACTATGTGGTTACCTGCAGTAAGTGCGGAAGTTGGTAGATTTGTCTGCAGTAACTATTTAGTGACCTGGAGTGATAGTGCTGGTTGATTTGTTGGCAGTAACTATGTAGTTATCTGCATTAAACTCTGGAAATCGGGTAAGTGTGGGAGCCAAGTGCACGAGATTGACTGCAGTAATTAACTATGTAGTCACCTGCAGTAAGCTTGGAAGTTGTATAGGAACCAAGTGCAGTAGATTTGACTGCATTAATTAACCATTCAGTTACCTGCAGTTAAACTGTGGAAATTGGTTAAGTGCGGGACCCAAGTGCAGTAGATTTGACTGCAGTAATTAACTATGTAGTTACCTGAAGTGAGCTTGGAAGTTGGGCATGTGCAGGCTCAGTGTGGGATAGGCTTGCCCACACCAAGTAACTAAGCAGTCGTTATCACGTGTGGCAGATATGTGCTGCAGTAATTAACTAAGTAGTTACCTGCAGTAATTAACTAAGTAGTTACCTGCAGTAATTGATTATATTACCTTCATCATTTACTGAGCAGTAGTTATCACGTGTGGCAGATATGTGCTGCAGTAATTAACGAAGTTGTTACCTGCAGTATTTGATTATATTACCTTTGTCATTTACTGAGCAGTAGTTATCACGTGTGGCAGATATTTGCTGCAGTAATTAACGAAGTAGTTACCTGCAGTAATTGATTATATTACCTTCATCATTAACCAGGGAGCACAGGTGCAATTTCCTAGCCAATCGAGTAACTGCAGTTACTGCAGTAGTCCGTTCTGTTTCACTGTAAGCTGCCCTTGAGCAGTTACTGCAGTAACTTGAACGTAACTCAATCTAGTAACTGCAGCAGTCAGTTCTGTTTCACTGTAAGCTGCCCTTGAGCAGTTACTGCAGTAACTTGAACGTAACTCAATCTAGTTACTGCAGTTACTGCAGTTACTGCAGTAGTCAGTTCTGTTTCACTGTAAGCTAGTCAGTTCTGTTTCACTGTAAGATAGTCAGTTCTGTTTCACTGTAAGCTGCCCTTGAGCAGTTACTGCGGTAACTTGAACTTGAACGTAACTGGCATATTAGCCGAGTGAGTGATGTATCGCTCACCATTGCTCCGATCAGCTGAAGTATTTGGCAACGACCCTCAAGCTGTGCTGATGCTGCCTTTGTCTAGGATCTTCTGCCTTCCGTCTCATCTCCTCCCGCCTTGCCTCACCGAGGACTTGATTCGGAAGCAGTGTTGCAAAAAAAGCGGTATGAGCAGCAAGACACTCCTGGTGCTGAGTGATGTCTGCCCACAAGGAAGATGTATTGCTTGCATTTGGTCCAAGCTAAAGTAACTCTTATGTATACCTTTCTCGGCCTTTTGGGTAAGATGTATTGCTTGTCTCGTCTCTCGTCTTGTCTCTCGTCTTGTCTCATCTCGCCTCATTTCCTCTCGTCTCACCCCTCGTCTCGTCTCGTCTTGTCTCGCGTCGCCTCGCCTTGCTTCGTCTTGTCTCGCCTCGCCTCGCCTTGCTTCGTCTCGTCTCGTCTTGCAGCAGTGTTGTAAAGTGGTATCAAGGGCAAGGCAGTCTGGCGCTGGGTGACGTGTTGCTCACAGTTGGTCCAAGTAATTGTACTGTTGGGAATGACCACTTACCTACCTGTACTTATGCTGGATTTGTCAGGAGTTTCCGCCTTCCATCTCGTCTGGTCTCATCTTGCATCGGCATCATCGTTTCGTCACATCTAGCAGCGGCGTCATAAATTGGAATCAGCGGCAAGGCAATCCGTCGTTGGGCGATGTCTTGCACACAGTCGGTCCAAGTAACTGTAGTGTTGGAGGAATGACCACCACCTACCTGCAGTGATGCTGGTCACTTTGTCAGGAGCTTCGCCTTCAAACAATTCCAACTCGTTCACTCGTGTAAGGTGCATTCGTCAGCATTCGAGGTCCGAGAAGCGGCTATTGGCAGCGAGTCAACGTCATTGTCACAGGGGAGCGAATGAGAACTCACCTGTACTGATGCTGGTGGCTTTGTCAGGAAAGGGGAGGGAACTTTCGCCTCCGATCTCACCCCATCAACTGTTGTATGTATGATGGGATCGCAAGCAAGGGGGTACGGTGGGTTCACTTTGGTTCTGTGATCCTGTGCAGTGAAATGTGGAGGGAGAGTACTCGTAGCGGAGGCTGCTCGACAAAGCCTGCAGCCTATGGTCGATTTGCGTCGACAGTTTGCACGCAAAGTAGGGGAATGTCTGGCTAGCAGAGGCGGCGGATCAAAGGTTGAGCCAATGATTGATTTGTTTAGACAGTTTCTTGTGGAGTGAATTGTGGAGGATAACCGTAGGATTCGAACTCATGACCTGCTCGTCAAAAAGGTATGTTTTGGCAGTTCGTACGCGAAGTAGGGCAATCTGCAGCGAAGGCTGCGGGTCAAATGTTGAACCTATGATTGATTTGTTTAGACGGTTTCTTTTGTAGTGAAGTGTGGAGGGTAACCGTAGGATTCAAAATCATGACCTGCTCGTCAAATGTTGAGCCGCCGATTGATTTGTTTTGACATTTCGTACGCAAAGTCGGGAAATGGGTACCAGAGGCTGCGGGTCAAAGGTTGAGCCCATGATTGATTTGTTTCGACAGTTTCTACGCAAAGTAGGGGAATGGGATGCACTTCATGCGAGGGGTGGGGAGATCCTTCGTGGCATAAGCATGCGGCAATCTTCGCTTCGACGCCCACCGCTGGATACCACATCGGGGATTGTTAAAACCCTCCTGAGAGGCACGCTTGGTTCTTCAGCTGCCTCTGCTCGATACATCGACGCGGGATTTCGTCATCCCTATGTCGACACGGTTCAGGTGATGGAGCTGGAGGCATTGCAGAAGAGTTTTCAGGGGAACTTTCGTGCCATTGAGCGGGCAGTTTCGTCCATCAAGAATCTTACTGCGAGGTTCGCACAGCTCATATCGATGGAATCGGGAGAATCGGGAGAATCAGGAGGATTGGATGGGCATGCGGAGTGGGAAATCCATGACACAGAAGCTTTGGCTGTTGGGGGAGGAGGGGATGGTAGACTTTCTGGGAGGAGGCACATAGGTTTTGACGAGGATGGGAATGAGCGCACGAAGGCGGGACAAGCGGTGCAAGTGCCGACCGGAGGAACCTGCGTTGCAGGCCTCGATGGCGGAAGTAAGGAGTATGATGATGATGATGACGATGACGATGCGTCTCTTGCGCACGCGGATGAAGCACAGCTTGTCTCAGACATTGATCAGTTCACCATGATGCTTGCCATAGAGGCCATGATTGGTAGAGATCTGGAGATGATTCAGAGGATTGCGCGTGCAGTTGTTGCGTTTGCGAGCTCGGAGCACATGGAATCGTACTGTTCTCTCTGGTCTCTTAGACCTTTTGTGAATGAAAATGTCTTGAGGAAAGCAAGAACTCTTTGCAGGTCATCGTAAATGTTCATGCCCACACCGTTTTGGCACCTAAGGCTTTCATTTCCTTCCTCTAGCTGGCACACACACACACACACACACACACACACACACACACACACACACACAGAGAGAGAGAGAGAGAGA